ACCGAGTCTCACAGCAGGAGGTGAGTGGCAGGTGAGCAAGTATTACTGCCTGAGCCCTGCCTCCTGTCAGATCAGCCACAGCATTAGATTCTCATAGGAGTGCAAACCCCATTGTGGACTGTGCCTTCGAGGGGTCTAGGTTGCACTCTCCTTATGAAAATCTAATTATAAATGTAATGTGCTTAAATCATCCTAAAGCCATCCTCTCCCTCCCCTGACCTTGTCTTCCAAGAAACTGGTCCCTGGTGCCAAAAAGGTTGGGGACTACCAGGCTAGTGGGATAGGCAGAGTCTTAGTTTTAACAGAAACGTACATCCTCAGAAAACAAAAATTAGCTCAGACTGAGAGAGTAAAAAATCTGCCCGCTGTTTATCAGACTACATTAATAGATGTATATAAAGACAGCTGCAAACTGAGCAGGAAATAATATTTCTCTTAAGGATGTTGAAGCTATAAAATAACAACTCCCTTTGTTGAATGACTCCTGCCTTATTAGTCATTAAGAAACTTTGTTTCTTTCAAAATTAAAGATTATCAAAGACTTTGTTGTTGTAGATTATACTGGTAAGAATGAAACACTCCATTATTGCCTGGAGAGTCTAACTAAGCTCCTTTGACCCACAGAAGCATTCTCAATTTACAACCCAGGTGCAGAGAGATTCAGATAAGGGGTTTCTGGATACAGCACTCCATATTCATCTTAACTTTGTACATTTCAAAGAAACAGGAGCCTGGGTCTATTTCATAGTCCAAATCCTTAACCCTACCTTGCTTTGAACCTTTCAAACACTGCTTCATTTAAATACCATCTAAATTCCATGCTTTCCCGCAATCTTATAATAACTCTATCTTTTCATTTGCTAAGCCATCTCCTGCTCTGGTCCACAGTCGCCTTCATTGCATTGGGTCCATAAACTCAACTGTATCAGGTAACAGTTGACACAGCTTGCTCCTGGTGTTCTCAGGCTGATTGGGCTGGGGAAATTCTCATCCATTTACCAGAATAGTATGAAGAAGCTAGTCAGAAGCCAAGTTCGAAGATAAGGTGACTCAAAGAGAATTGCTGCTTTGCGACAAGGTCCGAGTCTACTTATAAGATACTAGGATAAGACAAGAAATAAGTGTGCCATCACACCATACCTCAGTGTTGGTCTATTGCTCTTGCCTTCAGTTCTGACTGGTCTCAGAATAAGAAGATGGAGTTAGAATAGCAAAGAAAGATTCAGTGATTTCAACTGAGGAACATGCCAGGAAGGTAGGAACCAGCTGGTTGAGACTGAAATCCAGGAGTGTGCAAAAAGACCAGTGATACAAGCCCAAACACAGCAGTCCCTGGGCAGAGGGTTTGTCTGGGTTCTCACAAAGGGAGATGCCTGGGAATTAAAATCTGCAAAGGGCAAAGAGTTTCCTCCCCACAGAGCTTTCTTAACCTCTTTGAAGAGAAAAAGACCAGGGAGGAAAATAAGGAAACAGAGTAAAGGAGAGAGGGGTAGGGCAGATGGCAAAGTCCAAAATAATAAGTTTGGGAATAAGTGAAATGCCTTCTGATCAAGCTCTATAAAGTCAGTGTTTCACGCTAGAGTGGGAACTGGGAAAACTCATGGAAAACAGGTTTAGTCTTATGTATTGGTGATCTTTAGACTTTGCACTCTTTTTCTGAGCTGCAAGACTGCCCCATGGGAATTGACTTTTTTCTTTAATTTTTCAGCATCTGAACCCAAGATCCCTGTTCAGAGGGTAGAGGATGGGAACATTGTGTTGTTGGTTTGTTTCAGTCTCTAGAGGATTTGCTTCCAAGCTGCAGTGAATGGATCACTGTGAGAACACAATGATATTTTCATCTATGACTGAACTAGTCTATTCTGTTCCTGCTCCTTTTAGGGAGAGGAAAATTGTTCCTGGTTATTTTGGTCTAAAGTGTTTCAAAATTTCCATTACAAAGCATAAAGCAAGTTTGACTTCTGGGAAATTATACTTCAGTTAATAATTTTAAATGCATTTGTATGGTGAGGTATAACTTTATAAAGGTTATCTTCCTATGTAAAAAATAGATTTTATAAACAACAACAAAAAACCTGTCACCGTATTTCCTGATTGGTGGCATGAGTCGATGCAGAAGGAACTCTCCAGTCAGATGGTGAAGACAAGACCACCTCTGAGAGTAAGTTTTCAGATCTTGTCCTCAGTCATAAGTGGAGTAATCCATGCAGCCAGAGAGAAATCTTGAATTTCTAACAAATCCACCAACACCATCATGATAGTCTCTTGTTCAAGAGTGACTGTTTCCTTGGCTCTTTTCCTGTGGTACAGACAAATCTAGAAACACATTCCACTGCCATTCTTCCCTGACCCCTCTGCACATACATCCTTCTTTCTTTCTTGTTTTTTTTTTTTTTTTTTTTAATCTCTGCTTCAAAGTGGGAAAGAAACTTAGAGGCTTCTAAGGAAAAAAGTGAATGTGAAAAAGTAAATATAAAATGATTACTAGCAGTAATTATTTTCTAAAGCAATGGCTTTCAAACTTTTAAAACTACAACCAACAGTAAGAAAGCTATTTTACATTAGGTCCTACTACATGTACACTTAGACATATTTGTGTGTGTGCATATATAGATAGATATGATCCAGCTTCACAAAACAGTACACTATAATTTTTTTATTCTTTTATTTTATAAAATATTTATTGTTAGTCACTAAATTGGTATGATCTACTAAATGAGTGGCAGCCTGCAGTTTAAAAAGTACTGTTATTGTGGGCAATATTAGTAGGCAGAGTCTTAATCTTTATCCCAGAAAATAACTCACAGGAAACTTTGCTTCCTAATACCAGACTTCTTGTGTTCAAAGGATCTACTTTTGCAATGTTCTTTCGTAGTATGTCTGCTCCATTCTCGCCCTGAACATCCAGAAGTCAATGCAGATATTATTGTATAAGAAAATCAAGATCATTTCTTTGTTATTTCTGATATCAACCCTAGATTCTAAACATCCCTGCCCTCAAATATTTCTTAAGGTAAAATCTTTATAAGCACTGACCAGAAATTGATCCAGGTTAGTCTCTTACCGCAGGCAATATCTGCAGAGACTCTTATTGGACTGGAAATGGCTTAGAACGTGATGGAACAATAAGGGCAGATCAAACCTTATGGCACTTCATAAAATGAAATCAAGCACATCTGTGAAGAAAAATGAAGTTGATCCGTGTGCTATGAACCAATATTTAAGGTGTTTGTTAAATTGAGAAAAGCTAGATGAACATATTGTATATAGTAGACTTCCACATGTTTTCAAAAGGGGAATGTATGTGCATAGACTATTTCTGAAAGGCTCCACAAAATATTGGTGATAGGAATGGCGTATAGGCAATAGGAAAGAGAAATAGAGGGCTGGGAGTCTAGAAGGGTCAAGATTTAATATAAAACTTCTGTAGACCTTTTTATGGTTTTTTTTAAATTTTGTGCATATACATATATTCCTTTTTCAATTAAAAATAGCTAATTTTAAAAGAAATATTATACAACAGATTTTGTGATAGAAGGGGTATTTGCAAATTCTTTAGGATGAAGAGAATTTTCCTTGTGAGCAATTGTAGAAATGGATGTTTATTATAACACTGAGATTTATCTCCTTCATTTATGTATCTTGTATAGTTTACAGAGTTCCATGTCCATTGCCTGACTTAGCGTTTATAGCCACCTTTTGAAATAGTTGTGACACATACCAGAAGCAGTGCTTTACAAACTAAAACAAAACAAAACAAGAAAACCCTAAAATATAAAGAAATTTAAAACCTAGAACATATTTTAAGGAAAGAAGTTCAGGGTCATGATGTGGCTGTGATGTGGTAGAAACCTGGACATTTTACACTCTTAAGAGTTACCAAGAAGTTTATGAATAATATTTTAAAACTCTTCAACAATATCTCTTACAATGTTGATCCCTTAACTAAAGAACACTTGCATAGAGGAGAAAGAAGGCAGAAAAATAAACCTCCTGAAACTCTTTTTATAAAATATGCCTGTTATTAGAAGGTAAATTGTCAACTACTGGTTTAAAATTAACATTAAAGAAGTTGTGTTCATAATTTCACTCTATAGATTTTCAGCTTTGCATTAGAACAAAGCTAAAATAATTGTCTCATGGAAAAAGATGTATATTTCAAAGCATCACTACTAAACCTTGAAAAATACCCTTAAGCTTTATGGGTTAGGGTTATAGTATCTCCCAGTTTCCCTGGGACAATCCCAAATTATATCTCCCGCATCCATATAATTACTCATAGCACCCCTTTCATTCTCCAAAGTGCCCTAGTTTAGATGATAAACTATATCTCCACCCTATTAAATGTTCATCTCTATTCTCATACACTTTAAGATTGTTATTTTCTAGGAATTGGGCTTCATCTTGGGCCTAACAATTACCTTCATTCATGCCAAAGCTGAGTGATACATACTCAGATTGTAACTGCGTAAAAGAGTTTTCCAAACCATTCCCCAGCAGCCACTTTAGCTTTATTAAAGAGATGAATAGTGGGAAGGGTAGCTCAGTGTCTGGTTAGGAAGTTTTGGTATGTTCAGGTTTTCAAGAGAAATGTGAACTAAGAATGACTTGGTGAGACTGATGTAAAGATAAATAACTGATGCCATGTAACACAGTTCTAAACATAAGAGTTCAAAAAGTCATGCTCTAATTAGAATTCTCTGGGTCGGCAAGTCAAGGTGGTATTGATCTGTGTTAATCTGAGTAACTTATTGCCTAGCCTATAAATAAATTCCAAAATATCCAATTTAAAAAAAAAAAAGTGATGCTCCTCCAGAGTCATTCATGTGTCATTTATTGGTTAACATTTAGAGTGGCTCCTGGGAGTAAGACACTGTTCTAAGCACTGCATCAGGTTTGCCAATAGTTTTCAGGACTTTGTGCTAGATTTCCTGTGGTTTGCTGAGATGTATCTTTTTTTACACCAGATTTTAACATCAGACGTTATACATCAGATTACGGATCAGATTTTATACACCAATTCATCTCTGAGCTCTTTTCTGACTAGCACTCTTTAAAATTTCTGTGATTTATAACTACTCTATTTGATTGTTAGAAAGATCATTCCCATGGCCCAGATAGGTTGAATAGTAGCTGCAATATTCTTCATGTAACAAATGTATTTCTTCCATAGAACAAGCAACTAAATCTGAAGCCAAGTTGGCTATCACAGAACAGCATCTTTTACTCAGCAGTAAGCAGACCACCTCTCCACAATACATAACTATGGAGACCTAAGGCAATGCCACAGGTTGCTTTTAAGATGTGTTCACCTACTACATTCTCTGAAGCACACAGCACTTAAATTGAAGTTATCATGTAGTGATTACTTGAGGTTTCTGTGTGAAGTATTAAAGAATATTTTAATTGTTCTTTTATGTTTAGATTTACACTTTTAACAAAATATTTTCAGAACATGAATATTAACAGGCATGTACCAAAGGTCATGCATTCAGAGTCTCTCTCTGCAGAAGTTAGGCCTTGGTTCTGATTCCAACTGTTTGACTTGATTCCCGTAGTTGTTTTTGTGGATGTTTACATACATCTCCTGTTTATTTCTCCGATTTCTTTACTTTCTTGGAAATCTTTTTTCCTATCCATTACCAAACTTTTACAAAAGGAATCTTGTGGGTTTTTCTTTTGTTCTAATCATCACTAGTTGAGTGGTTACTGTCACTGCCTTCACTGTCACTACTGTCATTGTCACTTCCATTGTTGTTGCCATTACCAGATTTGCTCTGGCTGTTATTCTCATCACTGCTGTCAGATGTGCTGTCGCTGCTATCACTGCTATCGCTGCTGTCACTGCTATCACTACTGTCACTGCTGTCGCTGCTGTCACTGCTGTCACTGCTATCGCTGCTGTCACTGCTATCGCTACTGTCACTGCTGTCGCTGCTATCACTGCTGTCACTGCTATCGCTACTGTCACTATCGCTACTGTCACTGCTGTCACTACTGTCACTGCTGTCACTACTGTCACTGCTGTCGCTGCTATCGCTACTGTCGCTGCTATCGCTACTGTTGCTGCTATCGCTACTGTCACTGCTGTCGCTGCTATCACTACTGTCACTGCTATCGCTACTGTCGCTGCTATCACTACTGTCGCTGCTGTCACTACTGTCACTGCTATCGCTACTGTCACTGCTGTCGCTACTGTCACTGCTATCGCTACTGTCACTGCTGTCACTACTGTCACTGCTATCGCTACTGTCACTGCTGTCGCTACTGTCACTGCTATCGCTACTGTCACTGCTGTCACTGCTGTCACTACTGTCACTGCTATCACTGCTGTCACTGCTGTCGCTGCTATCACTACTGTCACTGCTATTGCTGCTGTCACTGCTGTTGCTGCTGTCATTGCTGTCACTGCTGTTGCTGCTATTGTTGCTGTCATTATTATCACTGCTGTCACTGCTATCACTACTGTCACTATCACTGTCACTGCTGTCACTGCTGTCACTGCTGTCACTACTGTCGCTGCTGTCGCTGCTGTCACTGCTATCGCTGCTGTCACTGCTGCTGCTGTCACTGCTGTCACTGCTGCTGCTGTCACTGCTGTCGCTGCTGTCGCTACTGTCACTGCTGTCGCTGCTGTCACTGCTGTCACTGCTATCACTGCTGTCGCTGCTATCGCTGCTGTCACTGCTGCTGTCACTGCTGTCGCTGCTGTCGCTACTGTCACTGCTGTCACTGCTGTCACTGCTATCACTGCTGTCACTGCTATCGCTGCTGTCACTGCTGTTGCTGCTGTCGCTGCTATCACTGCTCTCACTGCTATCACTACTGTCACTGCTATTGCTGCTGTCACTACTATCACTGCTGTCACTGCTGTCACTTTCACTGCTGTTGCTGCTGTCACTGCTACTGCTGCTGTCACTGCTGTCTGACTCACTGTCACTATCACTGCTGTCACTGCTATCTGATTTGCTGTTGTCTGACTTGCTGTCACTGTTGTCACTACTGTCACTGTCACTGCTGTCACTACTATCATTACTGTCGCTGCTATCACTGCTGTCACTACTGTCACTGTTATCACTACTATCACTGTCACTGCTATCACTGCTGTCACTACTGTCACTGCTATTACTACTATCACTGTCACTATCACTGCTGTCACTGTCACTGCTGTCACTACTATCACTACTGTCACTGCTACTGCTGCTCTCACTACTATCACTGTCACTGCTGTCACTGCTATCACTACTATCACTGCTATTGCTGCTGTCACTACTATCACTGTCACTGCTGTCACTGTCACTGCTGTCGCTACTGTCACTGCTGTCATTACTATCACTGCTATTTGATTTGCCTTTGCCATTGTCTGATTTGCCATTGTCATTGTTTCCATTGTTCCCATTGCCATTACTGTCACTGTCATTAGCATCTGAAGTGCTATCACTGTCATCATCTTCTTCTCCTTTTGAGTCACTGCCATTGCCATTATCTTTTGATTCATCAGAGTTATAAGAAGCATCTCCTCTGCTATTGCTGTCATTGTCGCTTTCTGAATTAGCACCATCATTGCCATTAGATTCATCACTGCTGTCAGGATCATCTCCTTGCATGGACTCATCATCAAAATCATTACTGTCATAACCATCACTCTTGCTGTCACTACCTGTGTTGCTGTGTTCAACTTTATTTCCTGGTCCTGATTTTTGGCCAGGTGCTTCTGTGTTGTCAGCCTCCCCTTGTGTCTTCACATTTCCTTTGCCCAACATCACTCCGTGTTGTCCTTTATTCTCTTTATCTTCATTGGCCTTCACAGCTTCTTTGGTAATATTTCTGTTGCCACTGCTGGGACCTTTGATTTCTATTCCCTGTGGAAGGATGAAGGAAAGAATGGTGAATTAGTGAATATTTGCTGCAAAATTGTATTGATCTGAGGAAGAATAACTGGGAAAAGTTTCCATAGACATAGGAGTTCCACTTCTAGTACTTCACAGTTATTTGTGAAAATGTGCTTTATTCCATAATTGAAAGCACCCTGGTGTTTAGATTCCTTAAAAAAACCATTCATATTCCTACCCAGTGGGAACTTTTGCAAACAATTACATGGAGAAGCCATAATTTCGCATAAGAATTTTCTAGAATTGTAACCAAGTTCTCAGAAATGTATTATTTTTAAAGTTGTTCTGTATTGAAGACTAGTAAAGATTCTAGTTTTCCTTTAAATAGTCAAGTAATGTGGATGCAAAAATACATGGATGCTTGTCACAGTTTATTTTTGTGCTAACATCAGTAGATGGAGGGGAAGAATTTAAACTGCCATTGAAAGAAATCAGCTTTACAAACTTACCTTATCTTGGGTCTTCCCAACAGCATGTGGCTCTGATTCTTTGGTGATTCCATTTTCTACACCTTTGCTTTCTCTGTGGTTGAGCTGCTGGGTGTCCTCTATTCTTTGGCTGCCATTGTCTTCCGGAATACCAGCAGAATTCTCCTCACTCTTGGAGGTGTTGTCTCCCTCACCATCATTATGGGGGTCTTCTTTGCCTTCAGGGTCATAATCTTCACTACTATCTGAATTTTGACCTATGCTAATATTATTATCATCTTTCCCATGGTCCTGGCCCTCCTGGCCCTTGCTGTTATCACTGCTGTCTTTTCCATTCCCTGCTTCTTCATCTTCATCATCACCAGAGCCCTCATCTTCATCCTCATCTGCTCCATTCCCACTAGGACTCCCATCAGAATTATCCAGGCCATTGTCTTCTCCAGTGCCTGGTGTCACCTCAGCCTCCTGAGTCCCATTTCTCTCGCTGTTGATCTGAGGTGTTATTTCACTTGCATTACCCTCATTTCTACAGGAGTTCTCAATTATTTCATCCTCATTGGCTGTACTGTTATTGCTTCCAGCTACTTGAGGTCCATCTCCCTGGACAACAGCAGCATCCTCATTGTGACCTGCATCACCAACATCCCCATTTTGGGTATTCTTATCAGTATTTCCACTAGTGTTGCTTCTGTTTGTGGCTCCGGCATTGTCAATGATGCTTACTTGTCCCTGGATGCCATTTGCTGTGGTGTTTTCTTCTTTCCCGTGTATTCCATCATGACCATATGTTTCTGCTTTTCCTATGTCCCCATTCCAACCCTCAATATTCCCCTCTTCATTTGCTAATGTGGAATATGTAGAAAAACTCTTCCCTCCTACATCTGCCCACTCAGAGCCATTCTCTTCTCCCTTGTGACCATCTTGGGTATGCTCTTGCCTTCCTCTTTCACTTTCATGCATGGGGACACCAGTTTCTTTAGTGGTTCCATTGGCATTTAACTCATCCTGAAAAAGAGAAACAATTTAATTAATTATAAATATCAATGATCTTGAAGAAAAGCATTTTCCAATCTTGGGGAAGTTAATGGAATGTGGCGACTCAGAAATAGAAAATAAAATGAAATATTTTATGTCCTATACCTGTACTGACACTTTTGATCTTGCTCGGAGAGGTAAATTCCCAGATTTTTCAACAACGTGTCTCTCCAGTGGTTTGCTCTGAGGAACCTGCCAAGTAGAAAATGCTGGCTATTGAAAAGGTTTTTATTTGTGAATATGTGCATGAGCATGCATGCACGCACATGTGTGCGCACACGTGCGCGCGTGCACACACACACACACACACACACACACACACACACACTTTTCCCTCAATGAAGAAGAAAGATCTAACACAAAGGCCAAAGTATAATCTAATCAGATGGAAAAGAGAAGTGGCTTCTTACAGGATTTGTGTAGAGTTTAAACTGGGTACATGGACATTTTTCACTGTGGTATTACCAATTTTATGGATGTGTTAGCTCAGCCCACTTATCTCAACTGCAGAAGAAAAGAGTCTTTTAGAAAGATGAGGGGATAGACTGCTGGTGTTTCTGTACAACAAACCTCTCGCAATAGCACAAGATCCACTCTAAGTGTAATCCTGACCTAAGCTCTTAAGACAACAGTAGGCATGACCAGAGCTTGCACAGATGCAAAATCAAGCATTCTGCTATTATCCTTCTATGCACTGCAAGGGCACATTTGAAATACTTGAGAACATTTTCAACTACATGAATACCAAATTATTGGTATTATGAAAGCATACCAAAATGTTAAACATGGATGCTGGCTAGGAAAATTACAAATGGTTTAGTTTTCCCAACTTTTATTCGTGTTATGCTGTATATTCCAAATTTTCCTCGGTGAGCACATAAATAATAACTCTCTGACTAAACATTAGTTTCCCATATGTTAAAAAAAAAAATCCTACTTTTTCCTATAGAAAGAATATTCTTGGAAACTTCCTAAACAGTGTGGACTTTGTTCATATTAAAAGGAAATTCACAGAGTATGAAGCAAAGATTGACAAAGTCTCCATGACTTCTGGGCACTAAGTGTAAATTAATCTGAATAAATGTTTTAAACAATAATCCTTCAAACAAGATGTGAGTTTCTATAGAGGAAAGAGAACATGAGTTGAAGTGGTTTTGTTGAGACCCCACAGATATTGCATAAGGCCTTTAGTGCAAATCTGAATGTTTAGAATCAGCCTATTAACAAAATATTGAGGAAATATACACACACATGTGCATGCGCGCACACACACACTCTACATTTTGTATTAATGTTAGGTTAAAAGAGTTAATGAAGTGAAGAGGTTTTCTGAGAAAGGCATACTTACTGGAATGGCCCATGCTACTGCCCAAATGCAAAAATACGTAATTATCTTCATTTTCCTTAGGAATAATAATAATCAATGGCTGTATTAAAAAAAAGCACAAAATTACTTATAAAGTAAAAGTGATCATCATAGTGCTATATTATTTTGACATGTAAGCATCTGTCCTTTTCCTAGGCAAGAAGCATGTATCTAACATGAGAAGATGTATGATGTTCCAGAACATACCTGGTGTGGTGATGGGGGCATCACCAGATTCAGCACTAATGTAGCTTCCTAGATTTTTTTCTGCCTGTGCCAATGAAGGAAAACAGCCATATAGGTACAAAAGGCATAGCCATAACTTTGTTCTGCAATTCTTGGATATAAAAACATCTTTCTCTTCTGAATGGCTTTAATCAATTATTAACTAATTTTGCCGAAATTGTGCTTGAAAGATGAAACACTTGTTGTCTTCCAAATCTATAGAATTGCGCTATACTAGACTTTAAGAGAAAGAAATTACTAACATGAGGGAACCTATGATAGCAGAAGAATATGGGGTTTGTATTCAGAGACCTGGGTTCAAATGTTACTCCTGCTACTTGCTGTGGAAGCTTAAGAAATTTAAGTGGCTTTATTATCCCTCCACCTGGGATGGTAACAATACCTGTATCTCAGGATTACCCTGAAGTTTGGTAGAATTATCTCTGAGAAGCCCTCTCTGACTTCCCTCCAAGGATTTTTGGTATCTCTTTCCTTTTTATACCAAGTAGTTTTGCACATCTCCCTAGCAACACATTGCACTGTTTAAAATTGCCTAGTTACTTATGTGTTGCCCTGATTTATTGAAAGCTCCCGAGGCACAGGATAGTGTCTTGGTGATTATTGTATTCCAATGCAAAGCACAGATAAAGACATTTTCTGAATGTTGCTGATAAATATTTATGACTATAAGCAATATCTAGCATTGCTTCAGGCACTTTGCAATTTTCCAATAAATGATAGCACTTATTGTATGGGACTTCGAAACACATGATTCTTCATCCCTGTTAGAATTCAAATTCAGAAATAGTCTAATATATGTCTTTGAAAATTGGAATAGCTATTTTGCAATCTGTGTGAATAAAAATTTTAATTTATATTGCAAGTTGGATTTCTTGATGTAATGATGCCATTATTATAGAAAGGAGAGTTTTACTCCTATTTCATGAACTCCCACTGGATGTATAGATTATAATTCTGCATGTCATAAAATGGCCTTAACTGGATTTAATGATGATAGTGAAAATGTAATAAAATTTCCCTGAATATCAACTATCATGAGAATTATTGGCATTTTCTCACACGTAAAATGACATAGTTCCAGAGGTACTGAGGGAGAAAAAAAGTGCTCACTCTTATAGCTGTTCAACAGAAAGCCAAGAATAGCTAGAGCCCCTTCTCAAATGCCATAGATTCAAGTGAGGCTGAGGTGACACCAGGACAAGTATCACGCAAGGCTCTGGGGCACAGACGTTGAAGGCCAGCTGTTTAGTAAACCACAGTTATCCTGTACTTTGCAGGCCCAAGCCTAATCATTACATAGCGCTGCAGAAGGCCTGTCTGCACGCTGATTTGGAAGAGCATCCTGGAAAGGTACCTGCAGCCAAGGCCAGAGTGATGTGTCTCCCGTTTCTGAGCTGCAATCCGGAAATCTGACCACTACGTCTCTCTTTCAGCTCCCCTCCAGAACACTTCCATGTTGATGCTTGTCACTGTTTGCCAGGGCAGGTGAATGGCTTCGAAGACCACTATAAAAATGGCCCATGTGTTCTCAGCCTGAAGCAGAGACTTCAGAATTTTGTGAACCTCCTTCAGATTATTTCATTTATTGTCATACATGAAATGAGATTTAGCTTCATTTCATTTAGCAATTCGATTTAGCATCACTAGTGATTACTAAATCTCTTTGTATGTGGGACAATAAATAATAAGTAATAGTAAGCAATAAAATACTGAAAAGCAAAGCCTTGTTTGAAAGCCCAAGGTGGATTTTTTGAAATCTGAGTTATCTCATTTTTTTATCAAAACTAATCAAAGTGTCCAGATAATTAATTATCATATTTCCACCTCAGTTGGCCAAGTTTTCGGTATGTCTTTCTTTTTCCCAATCTAGCTCTTCCGTAGCTCGTAATTGTCCATTATCTTGTACACATACTATCAATAAGACAAGTCAAAAAGGAAGCAAACAATCTAATTGTTAAGGAGTATTCACACACACACACACACACACACACACACACATATATATATATACATATATATATATATATATATATATATAATTGCTCTTTAGGTTCTGGTCATTCACTTCTTAAAATCAAGCTGACTTCCTCTTTGAAATTCAAAGTTCTTTCTAAACGAATCAGTTGGTTCTGAGTGAAAAGGATGTTTTATCTTACCTTAAAAGGCTTCAAAAGGACTTTGAAAATCCAGAATTTCTTATCTTTCTTTTTGAAGACTGAAAGTGGCCCACTGTCCTGGACTTTTGCATGACAATTTTGTACCTGCTGAAATTTAAACTCAGTTTGATAATTTTCTCAACCAATCACTGTTTAGGATCCCTGATACGGGGTTACAAAGTGTCATCGTGTCTACGAAGCACATAATAACTTCCCCACTTCCTTCACTTGCTGATATGTATTTGCTCACTGAACCGTCCAGTTCCAAAAGGACTAGACTTACTTTCACTTAATTAAATAGCTTCTGTGAGGCTGTTTCACATCTTAAATATAGAGAATCAGTGTAACATATCTGAAAAGAGCCACTTAAACTCTGTCACCCTGACATTTCTTGTCTTGCCAAGGTTGGCAATCTAAGAAAACTCTAGGTTTCTTTAGTAAATATGACTGCCTATTTAAGACCCCTATCATTCCTGAGGTAGGTATTAAAGTTTCTGCGCTATAATTCAAGAAAGTGTCCACATGCAACAGCCTTTATGTTGCCTGAGGGATCTTTAACAATCTATAAACAGTAACTCCCCTGAAATCTCTCTGATTTAACTGAAATAAGCAGTGACATAAAAGCTTAAAAATCTGTCAATTGAGTATTCAAACTACATTTTAAAAACAGACATTCAAAATGTCAAAAGTAGCAAGATGTTCAAAGGTGCATAAAGACAACAGATTTATCTGTCCATTATTTCTCAATTATCTGTGTTAGATGCAGAATGCAAAATAGAAAACAAGACTTTATGTCTAACAAGTTTTGGGACCAGAATGCATCTTCTCTTGAACGCTAGATGTACTATAATGCAGGTAATCCCTAAACCATTCCTTCATTTCATGCGTTCAAAAACTTGACAGTCTCTCTACATATACTTGTTTAGAATTTTCAAGAACATGCCAACTTTTGTGTTACAATATTGAAGAATGTGAAACACATAAGACCACTAATGCTATATCACTATGCAACAGTGGTATCTCCAGAATTTATATACAAAAATGCATGGTATTTTTATACATCATAAAGCTTTATATGTAGGGAAAACAGTAAGGTTAAAATAAGTAAAGGGAATGGTAAGGATATTTGCCTTGAAGCTGTTTTCATAGTGAATACTTTGTTTTTATTCATATAGTGAATTTAATTGGGCAGATTAAAGGGGCTAACAGCTTTTAAGAAGGCTCAAGTCACTTCTGGTCGTGACACCCTCACCCACACATACATTCATCAGTGGAGGTTGGTGAACTGAACCTGCCTTCCTTTTCCTTTATTTAAATTAACATGAATTATAGTCAGAGATTTCAATAGCCCTCTCTTAACAATTGACAGAAAAACACAATGGATATACAAGCTTTAAGCAGAATTATCATCCAACTTGATCTAATTGACATTTACAGATCACTTTATCCAACAACAGCAAAAGAAACATTCCTTTCAAGTATACCTGGACCATTTATCAAAATAGAATGTAGTGTGAGCCCCAAAACGAATCTCAATAAATTTAAAAGAATTTAAATGATACAAAGTATGTTTACTGACCAAAATGGAAGGCAAATAGAAATCAATAACAAAAGAATTCTGGAAAACCCCAAGTATTTTAAAGTTAAGTGGAACACTTATAAATAGTCAATGGGTGAAAGAAGAAACCAAAAGGGCAATTCAAAATATATGGGATTGACTGAAAATGAAAACACAGCATATCAAAATTGGTGGGATGTCACTAAAGCAGGACTTAGGATGAAATTATAGCACTAAGTAGCCATATATGAAGAGAAAAAGTTTCAAAACAATGACCTCAGTTTCCACCAAAGAAGGAAAAATCAAATTCAAAGTATGTAGAGGAAAAGAAGTAATAAATATCAGAACTGACATTAATTAAATAGAAAGCAGAAAAACAGTAAAGCCAGTGAAACCAAAAGCTGATTCTTTGAGGAGTTCAATAAAATTTAAAAGATTCTTTCCATATTAATGAGGGAAATAAGGAAGAAGACACAAATTAGCAATATCAGGAATGAGAGAAATGACAACTCTACAGATTTTATAGACATTCTGTAAATATTCTATAGGGGATAATAAGTAAATACTAGAAACATCTTAATGCTAATAAATTAACAACTTAAACGAAGTGGATAGATTCCTTAAAACTGTCAAAGCTCACTCAAGAAAACATAGAAAACTTGAATTGCCTTGTATCTATTAAAGAAATTAAATTCATAGTTTAAAACTTTCCTGGAGAGAAAACTTTGGGCCCAAATGGTTTCACTTGAGAGGCATTGGTGGTTCAGTGGTAGAATTCTTGCCTCCCAAATGGTTTCACTAACAAATTCTATGACATATTTAAGGAAGATGTCATTACAATCCTACACAAACTCTTCCAGAAAATAGAAAAGGAGAAAATACTTCACAGCTCCTTCTGTGATGCCAGCATTACCGCAATACCAAAACCAAAAATGTTATGAGACTATTATACTACTGACCTATATCCATCACAAATGTTAATACAAAAATTTTAAGTAAAATGTTAGTGAATCAAATTCAACAATATGTTTTTAAAAGATAATACATGATTAGCAAATAAAATTTATTCCAGGTATGCAAGGCTGGCTTAACATTTAAAAAT